TGTTGTTTGGCGGGTCCGGGCTGGGGATTCGAACCCGCCACCTTAGGTGTACGTGGCTGGCGCCTTAGCCGGTTGAGCCACAGGCGCCGAGCCATCAACATTATTTTTAATGAGTTTTTAGACAACTTCAGACATAGCTCCTAAAGTTTTTTTTTTTTTTTTTTGAGATAAAGCCTTACTTTGTTGTGTTCTATAGAGTGCTGTAACATCATAGCTCACAGCAACACCAAACTCCTGGGCTCAAATAATTCTCTCGCCTCAGCCTCCCAAGCAGCTGGGACTATAGGCGCATGCTACAACACCCAGCTATTTTTAGAGATGAGGTCTTGCTCTGGCTCAGGATGGGCTCAAACCTGTGAGCTCAGGCAATCTACTCACCTTGGCCTCCCAGAGTGCTAGGATTATAGATTTTTTTTTTTTTTGAAGACAGAGTCTCACTCTGTCACACTGGGTAGAGCACCATGGTGTCATACCTCACAGCAACCTCAGACCTCAGACTCTTGAGCTTAAGTGATCCTTGTGCCTCAACCTTCCAAGTAACTGGAACTACAGGTGCCCACCACAACACCTGGCTATTTTTAGAGATGGGGTCTCGCTCTTGCTCAGGCTGGTCTTGAACCCAGGAGTTCAAGTTATCCACCCACCTCAGCCTTCCAGAGTGCTGGGATTACAAGCATGAGCCACTGTGCCCGGCCTCAAAAAACAACTTTTAACAAAATACTTTCAGCTACTATTTCTGGAGTATTTTGGCACTAGGAAAGTCAAAGTCCTAAACAAATAGGACTTGATATTATATAACTAATTCACTAAACATTACAAAAGTTATCACATACCACGCACATCAGTAATAGAAGATCACATGGGCAAAAAGCCATTTCCTTTTCATCCTTTGAAATTGGTACATCCCCTTCAGTGAGGCTAAAACATCTGTTTATCTGTTTTTAATATCCTAAATCTTTTATTGAAATAAGGTAACTACCCAAAGAGAATAAGTGTTGTTTTTTTTTTTGAGACGGAGCCTCAAGCTATCCCCCCTGGGTAGAGTGCCATGGCATCACACTCACAGCAACTGCCAACTCCTGGGCTCAAGCAAGTCTCCTGCCTCAGCCTTCCAAGTAGCTGGGACTGCAAGCGCCTGCCACAAAAGCCTGAGTATTTTTTGTTGCAGTTGTCATTGTTTAGCTGGCCTGGGCCAGGTTCAAACCTGCCAGCCTCGGTGTATGTTGCTGGTACCATAACCAGAGGGCTACGAGTGCTGAGCCATAAGGAAGACAGTTGTTATCAGTAGGTTAGAAAACACTGGTATCATCAGCCAACATTTCTTTTTTTTTTTTTTCCAGTTTTTGGCCGGGGCTGGGTTTGAACCCACCACCTCCAGTATATGGGGCTAGCACCTGAGCCATAGCCACTGCCCCGCCAACATTTCTTAAATAATAGCAACAAGACTGTGGCAGTTTAGGGGGAAAAGAAAGACATTTCATGAAATGGTAACACAGTCTCATATTAACACACAAGGCAAAATGTTATAAGTAGTCATGTCAGACTCATTCAAGCTTACCTTACTTCAAAGACTAAAATTATTTATTTATTTTTGAGATAGAGTCTCACTATGTCACCCTTGGTAGAGTGCTGTAGCATCACAGTTCACAGCAAGCTCAAACTCTTGGGCTTAAGCAATTCTCTTGCCTCAGCCTCCCAAGTAGCTGGGACTACGGTGCCCACCACAATGCCCAGCTATTTTTTGTTGCAATTGTCACTGTTGTTTAGCTGGCCCAGGTCAGGTTCAAATCTGCCACCTTTGGTGTACGTGGCTGTACAACTGTGCCACGCGTGCTGAGCCCAAAGATTAAAATTATTAAAGTTAGACTCACCCTGTCTGGTTATTCAACATTCTCCCCTTTCTACAAAATGTTAGTTATAACCAAAACTGTACTTTTTTTTTAATAACCAAAACTGTATTTATATGTAAAACTGAGCAAAAACGTACTGAATCAAGGTTCAGGTTTGGATAACTCTGTTACCTCCACTCATTCTGAAGACGCTCCAAGGCTGGGCATCTAAATGTTCTCCAGTTAAAGTGGCAAAACCTGGCTTATTTTTAAAGCTCGTGCCTCTTTTTCTGTAGAAGCTATTCCTTGTACTTGTAACTCTGATACATTTTTATTTTCTAGAAAAAGCAATGTGTGGTATTAGCCATACTGAAAAATAAATCTAGCTCAATTCTTTAGAATAACCCAAACTTAAAAGTTAATCCTTTTCAGCGTCTATAAAATACACCTCAAACCTGAGTCACCACATTGCCCCAACATGGCCTGAAGACACTACTGTGATCTGAGTTTAAGAGCATAAAATGCTACATTCTGATTAATGTTCAATTTGGTGACAGCAATTTCAGTAAATATATTAAAAGTTAGGGCTGCACAGGCACAGTGGCAACGTTATCCTTCAAAATGAAGTGGCCTGGCAGGGCGCAGTGGATTACGTCTCTAATCCTAGCACTGTGGGAGGTGGAGCCCAGTGGATTGCCTGAACTCAGGAGTTCAAGATCAGCCTGAGCAGCACTGAGACCCCATCTGTACCAAAAATGAAAAACTGAGGCAAGAGGATCTCTTTTTTTTTTTTTTTTTTTTTTGAGACAGAGCCTCAAGCTGTCCCC